TCTTAGATGTCATCTTTCTGTGTGCTCCTTTGTATGCACCTCTGGAAGGCTTTTAATGTCCTGCAGCACTACACCACTACGGCACTTTTAATTGTATCTTGTATGTTTTATATGTGTAATGTATTGTTTTATGGCTTTGTTGAAAAGTACTTTGGGTACCATTCGGCTTTTGTAAAGGGCTAAACAAATAAATTTGATTTGATTTGATAACCTGGAACATGAGCCTCATTCAAGCTTTAGCCAATTCACAATGGACAATACCCTCTTCAAAGCCAATACTTTCTCAAGCCTTACTTCATTAAAACAAGGCCCAGCTACCCCATTCAGAGCTTCAGCTGAACTTCGAGGCACCTCAACACCCCATCTCCTCCGTCACTCTTAGGCTTCTCATAGAACCTCTCATCCTCCAGCTTACGCCCCTAAATTCCAAAATTATTCATCCAAGCTCGTGTTGATTTACAGTATCATATCTTCTGCCAGGGTCTGAGCACCAAAGTGCTTATTTCATTAATGTCAGTAAAATCATTCTAATTGGTTATTTTTCTTCATGGGAGTCTCTCCAAATATCATTTTATATTTTTATTGATCTGTTTTGACTCTAAATTAAATTTTAACTTAATATTGAAGAAATTAAATACTGTGTACAGCTTCATTGTTCTACTTTCACCCCTCTAATTTGAGCTTACACATGAAATAATATTGTTGAAGATTAATTTCTTTTTATTTTCTGTTTTAGATACTTTAGATATTTTCATTTCTATATCTGTTCCCTCTTCTCTGTATGTCAGCCAAATTAACATTCTTCTGCTGACATATGATGGCCAGAGTGTCTCCAGCATCACCTGATATGGTAATGCTGTGTAAGAAGGACTGAATGCTAACCGGGGGGTTTTAGGGGGACATCTCCTGGCTGACTTTTAGATAAGCCACAGACAAGACATGAATTGTGCTTTACCTTCTCTTAAACACTATTTGGCAACTGTAGCCACCATTTGTCTTCTGATATGTCTTCTTAATGGAAATTAAATCTTTACAAGCTTAACATTTAAGTTCTGTGGCCTATTTTATTGTCTCCACATGCAGCACAACCAACCTTTTAAGTCTATCAACCACCTTGATAGACTTAAAAGATGGTGCTTCTGCAGCATTACTATTAAGAAAGAATAGCAGGTGGGGGTACTTACCCAGTAATTTGGAAGAAAGCAATTATAAGAAAATATTTATTCAACTTAAGATTAAAGCAGTATTTCTTAGCAAACGTTAGGGTAAATTAGCCCAATTGTCCCCTCCTCTCTGCAGGTGTGACTGAAACTTTGCTTTGTTTTCATTTATAGAAAGTCCCTGTGATTTTTTTTTCTTTTTCTGTACTCTTTTTTTTTTTTTTCAAATTTTACCTAGTCAAATTTATAACACTGTCTCAATTTTTGGGAAAATGGAACAGAGACACTTTCCTGCACAAATTGGGAAATTTGGTCACCCTATATGTGACTTGTGTACTGAGAGTGTTACTGTTTCGCTAACTCGCAGATTATGCAAATGAAATTAGATAGGACAACCAAGATTTGTAATGGATAATGCAGTAAATGATGTAATTGATCTTTTTTAACATAATCTGGAAATTAATCTTTTATATAAGCAAAAGTTTTTAAAGCTAAAAGTTGTAATAGCGTTGTGTTTTTTTTCTTTTTTTCATCTGAACAGACTGACTTGTGGTTGCCAATGTTCAGTGTACATCCAGGCAGGATTGATTT